AAGCCTATATTCTATAGACCATTGTGTGCTGTGGGCATTCTTTAAGGGTTGAGCATGGAGAGTGGATCAAGTTAACAGAAGGACATTTCAGAGCAAACCTGCTAAATTACTAAATGTTATATGTATCTTAAACTTTCTAAATGGAGGTAGCGGTCTGGATAATAAAAACAATTAGAAGATAATGCCTGTGATGTTACAGGAGATAAATGAAAACAAATGCCTGTGATGTTAACAGGAGATAAATGAAAACAGAGTACTGTTTTACATCAGATATGTATTTCTGTATGTGTATTTTAATGAGCTTTTGAGTTACTTCAGAAGGAAGTCTGAAAGATCTTCAAATTCAAGGTGGCAGCAGTAAAAACCATTTAATCATTTACTATAGCCCAAACGCTGGCGGCAGGAATGTTTGCTTTTTTTTTTTTCCTCCTCTTCCCTTTCCGCGGGTCACTGCAAGTCACGTGATGAGTATCACATGACTCGGTCAAAGGATCTTTTCCTCTCGCTGCTTGGGGGAAAAAAAAAAAGCAGAACCGTTCTCCAATTAAAGCTGTTAACGTGTACTACGCTGTTTCCTTGTTGGATTTTCTTGTTCTCTGCTGCTACTGTAAAAACAAAATGAGTGGTAAGATTTGCTGACTGTTTTTGAACATTCTTCTTTCATTTTAAACATAGAAAGCATTGCATTAATCTGAAGTCATGCCTTGTGTGTGTGTGTATGTGTGTGTGTGTGTGTGTGTGTGTGTGTTCAATAGATGCCAAATGTATCGCAGTGCAAATATTTTAAATTGTGGCCATGTAGTTATGAAAAGATTAGACTCTGGAGATAGAATGATTTTGCATTCCACAGAATCTTATTTTCCAGCGCCTTTATTTCACTAGGTTTTCTTTTTACCGCTAAAATCTGAATATTGGCATCAGATTATTTGGAAGCCATTGTGAAAGCTTGGAAGCTCTTTATAAAGAGAATGTGTAGCACGTCAGCAGCCCGTTGCATTTTAAGAATTTAAACTCAAATTCGCAGTTTCATCAAAAAAAAAAGCCCTCTTAAATGTGAATGTATGCTAATAAAAAAATAAGAATTAAACTTGAAATAGATGAAATATCGCCTTTATTAAATCATTGATGGCACTTTTTAAGAAATGGAGGTGAGGGCTTCTCAAATTTCTTAAGACAATTGGTGAATAGAATTGTTTCCTCTTTTAGGTTTTGGAATAGGTAATATGCCCCTAAAAATGATTAATAGCTCTATGATTTGAGGTAGATTTTGCTTAGGTCATATAGATTATTAAGGAGCTGCTGGGTGTATCTACAGTTGTTCAGATACAGCTTCTCTTCTACCAGATGGTACAATCTGTAACAGACTTGGCTTCTTTATTGGAACAGAATACCCCCTCACTGCATTTAATAAGGGTTGTAGTTAATCTTTTAGTACTTTCGGTATTTTATTCCAATAGTTCTTTCAAAAGTATTGTTGAAACTAAAGAGGTAAACAAACATTTGCATTAGTAAGCATGCAAGGTTTTAGGGGTTTAGACAGGAATATTCCTGTCCGTAGATAGGAATAGCAACTGAAGTGGTGCTGTAAATATTGTAGTTCTAAATTTATATTTACTATGTTTATATAATGGGACTTAATGTGTTCATTGTTGAATGTTGTTTCACACCAGTATTTTAGATACTAAATATGGTATTCATGAATTGTCTTAAAAAAATTAACCATGTAACATTTCTGCCTCAGGATAAGATTATTTACTTGCTAGAGTGAAATGATTACTTCATAGAGAAATGAGTTAATCATTATTCCTGGACTGCAACTAGTAATGTGTTTTCTGCTGGTTTATTTTAGGTTCAGTTTGTTTTGTTGTTTTCAGTATCAGACTTAAATATAATTAAAGAATAAAGTAGAATTTTGTACTACTAAAATATAAGTATGAAGTAGTTTTGAAAGTATATGGTTTGAACTGTAACTGTGTAGTATTTATATATTAATATTTTTAGTAAAAAAAGGGCAACCCAAAGCAACTATGTAGTTTTGCAGTTTTAAATGTAATCAGCAATAACTTATTTTTTACTCTGGGGGCTAAAAAACAGCAACAAAAACTTATTCTAATGACTTGACTTAAGAATTAATTTGAGGGCCTCCTGGGTGGCTCAGTTGGTTAAGCATCTGACTTCGGCTCAGGTCATGATCTCACAGTCTGTGAGTTCGAGCCCCGCGTCGGGCTCTGGGCTGACAGCTCGGAGCCTGGAGCCTGCTTCAGATTCTGTGTCTCCCTCTCTCTGACCCTCCCCATTCATGCTCTGTCTCTCTCTGTCTCAAAAATAAATAAACATTAAAAAAAAATTTTTTTTTAAAGAATTAATTTGACAGGGATTCCTGGGTGGCTCAGTCAGTTAAGCATCTGGCTTTGGTTCAGGTCATGATCTCGCAATTCATGAGTTCAAGCCCTGCGTGGGGCTCTACTGACAGCTCAGAGCCTGTAGCCTGCTTCAGATTCTGTGTATCCCTCTCTCTGTGCCAACCCCCCACCCCCCAACCACCACTTGTGCTCTCTTTTTCTCAAAAAATGAATAAACGTTAAAAAAAATTAAATTTGACATGTGAAAGGAACCACAGCCCCTGGCACATTTGGTAGAAGCTCAAAAATACTAATTTCCTTTACTAAAATTGCAAATAGAATTTTCAGTGAATTGTCCTAGTTCCCAGCTAAATTTCACATGCTATAAATAATACCTACGCCAGTAGTCAGGTTTCAAAAAACTAGTTTACTGTAGTTTTATATGAATTAGCCAATAGATGTAAACCAGCATTATCTTAAAACTATTCTCATTTTCTGTTGAGTCCACCATAGAGAAGTTAAAAGGTAAGTTCTGGATGAAGCCTTTCTGGCCTAGAGGTATAAAGCCCCTCACAAGTTTTATTTTGTAAATTAATTGGTTAATTTTGGCTTAAATGTAGGAAAATCCTGTTCTTTCTTACTCTTTATTTTTTTAAGATAATGAAGAACTTAATTTTCCTTAGAAACATTGGAGCATAGTTCTTAAGTCTCAAATTACATCAGTTGCACTAATGCATAGTATTTAAATGTTCACTAAATATGTTGTAGAGATATATCCTTAAATGAAACTGCCTGGTTTTTGATCTTTATACTACCATTAGGGCAAGCTTAACCTCTCTGCCTTAATTTCCACATCTGGAAAATGGGAATAGAATGATTGTGAGGAGAAAAAACAAAAAACACCTAACACATAGTAAATTAGCGTTAGCTATGTATAATTAGCTATTCTAAGAAAATATTCTGAACAACTTCATATATTTGGTGGGCTTGTCTTGGATGGGAAGATTATTTTGTTGAAAAAGTTATTTTTATAGTCATATAGAACATAATTTGGTAGTCTGCCCCCCGCACAGGCACGTACCTATACACTCCTTACTTCCTCCTAACCACTTGAGTCTTTAACCTTTTCTCTCCCTTCCATCTTCCACCTCTTTCTTTCCCCGCCCCCCCACCCCATTTCAGCTCTCTTCACTCTCTTGTCTTCTTCTTTAACCTTCCCTTTCTCCTATTATCTCTTCCTTCTTTGCCCCCTCCCCTCCTCTTATGCCTGTATTTCTCCTCCATCCCTTCTTTTCTCCTCCCTCCCCTTAGCATTTACCCTCATGTACCCCCCCCCCTTTTCCTGCATTCTCTTTTCTCTTTCCTTCTTACCACTCACTTCCTTTCCCCCGTCCCCACCACGAACCACTTTGTTGTTTGGTTGTTACTCCCCTCCTTGCCTAAGAGAGGAGAGTGGCTGTAATCCGAATTTGCTGTAACCTCCATGCTCTTCATTCTGTTTTCCTGAAGTATGTGTAATGTTACCAGTGAAATTTATTTCTTTTCTGCCCTATGATTAAGTTTTTTCTCCCTTTTTTTTTTTTTAAATAATTGATACCCATTATATGTACTCTGCAGGTTGAAATTCCACATACAAAAAGAACTCTTCCCCCATTACATTCTTCATTAGAATCTTGGGTACCTTTATTCCTAAGAAATGAGTGAGGCTCTTTGATAATGTTTAATCTCAAGTTATTAAAAACTAGTGGGTGAGGGGACAATGCAGTCTAAAGTTACAAAGAGAAAAGGATCTGAAAGTGAGATGCTTCTTTCAAAAAGTCGCATAAAACAAGATTTGAGTTACTAGAAAAAATAAACACATTTTACAAATGTGCCTGTTTTATCCCACAAACATTAAGAGAGGAGAGATAAATAAGATAATCTTTATGAAAGTTATCTGGAAAAAGGATAACAGTAAAAATGAAAGAAAATATAGAATGAGACAAGCTGAATTTTCCTTTTTTTTTTCCCCAGAACTTTTGACTGTAAGAAATAAAAATTGTTCCTTGGCTAAATATGCATGTATAGGATTTTTCTAACTGTTCTCAAACCTCCACAGACCTGACTTACACATTACACAAGAGGCTTTGAACACTAACAAAGCAAATCCCAAATATCTTCTTCCTTTTACTGCTTTTCCCTCTTGACTTTTTTTTCTATTGTTTTTCAAAATACTGCTTTTTATATTTTTCACTGATTTATATGCACAGTTTAGTTTGATTCTGGTCAGTGTTTCTGAATTTGCACAATCATAAGATTCACTAGGTATATTTGTAGAGTAAATACATTGACTCAAGACCCCACTGTAAGTATAATAAATGGGAATCTCTAGAAGAACCTGGAAATTGATGTTTTAGAAAGCTCCCCAAGTGGCTGTTGTGATCACCAGAAGGGTTTGAGAAATACAACTGCAGGTAAATAGTACTCATTGTACTTTACAGGATAAACTTTTATGTTTTATAGCAGGTGAATCATCTGAATTTCTTTTCATAGTAACACAGTTACTGTTAATTTGAGTGTTTAGTTTAGATGAAGTATTCAAAGTCTAACTCAAATTGTTTTCAACTTTAGCTTGCTAAATAATCCTGGATTAACACATCATTTCTGTGATCTCTTCAGGTCCTGCTCAGGTTCCAATGATGTCCCCAAACGGTTCTGTGCCTCCTATTTATGTGCCTCCTGGATACGCCCCACAGGTATGTTTTTATGTTCTTGTTATATCTACATAATAGGGATCATAATGTTATTGTTTTGACTTTAATTCAGATAAAAAATACCATTTCAGTACTGAAGCTTAACCCAGTAGAGTATACCTTTGGTAAGCCTATTTCAAGTATTTTTTTTTTATATTTCTTTTTTTTTTTTAACATGTATTTATTTATTTTTGAGAGAGAGAGTGCATGAGAGGTAGGGGCAGAAAGAGATGGAGAGAGAGAATACCAAGTAGGCTCTGCACCGTTAACACAGAGCCAGATACGGTGCTCAATCCCATGAACTGTGAGACCGTGACCTGAGCCAAAATCAAGAGTCAAGACACTTAACACACTGAACCATCCAGGTGTTCGTATTTCAAGTATTTTAGTATGTTTAGTATATTTGGACAAGAGGAAAAATTAAGTTGACAGCATCATCGTTTGGTCTTGTCTTTGGGTGTGGAATTATAATAGGAAATTAATTCTAGAACTTTATTTCCCTGAAAATGTGAATAATGTAAGTACTATCTTAAGGTTTAAAGGGCCTACACTAACATTGTTTTAAATTAATCATTTGTTTAGAAGTAATCCTAGACAGTGTTCCATCCTTATTCATGTCTCACAGACACCCATCATAATTGCGTGGCACATTGTGGTACATAGAAGAAAATTTAGACCTATAGACCTACAGCTGTAAGGACTAAGGGAATTAGTATCATCACACACCTAATAATCCTGTCCTATGTATGCATCACTTGGGAAGCTCTGACTTAAAGAATAAGATACAGCTAACTTACTTGCACAGGCAAACCAAATTAAATTGTAAGGTCTCAGGTGTTCAGTATCTTCTGCTCCTGAGATTCTGTGTAGTCTGCACTCATTGTCTCAAATACTTTTTGGAAATACTCAGTTTCTTTTTTTCGCACTAGAATTTACACTTGAAATTTTCTTCAGGCCCTCTCTTACTTCCTCCCTAATTATGTCAGAATATTGGTAGGATATTGTGGTGGATTCACTGTCCTTTCTGTGAAGCCCCATACTATGAATGGCAGAAGAAGACAATTTTGGTGAAGAGAATGGAAGTAGTATGAGAGTTAGAGTCAGAAAAGCTGGATCCATATCTTATTTCAGACCTTGCTGGCTGCATAGCCTTAGACAAATCAACTTCCTGAAGTCCCTGTGCCCTAACTGTAAGATGACATGATAACATATATGAGATAACATTTGAATAGTATTTGTAAGCTTTTCAGGAGCTGTCTCTATTTTTGTTTGACATATTGACTCTTTAATTTATTGTAGTCTGCATTCTGTCTATAGTATCCTGCTAAATCTGCTCTCTGATACGTACCAAACTCAAAGCCTTTTTTCCAACATAATCCTCTTTGACCCCTAAACATTTGACACCATTGTTAGGATTTACCCTGGATTTCCTTGACATAATGCTGTCCTGATTCTTTCTGCTTTTCTAATTGTTCCTTCTCAGACCTTTCTCTATTTACATAAAGACCATATCTGGTCTTTTCTCTCTGGTGTAGTTCAGTTCAACAAACATGTATTGAATGCACCATGTACTAAGCTCCGTATGTGGTGCTAGTGATATAAAGATGTATTTGGTGCTACTGACAATTTATTTTGGTGCAACTAAAGAGTATCCTGCTGTTCTCTCCAGTAACAATACCTTTTATTTTTATGGCAAATTCCTACCCTTCTCATTTCATTTAATCATGACCTTCTAAAAGTAGATTTCCTTGGGGGCGCCTGGGTGGCGCAGTCGGTTAAGCGTCCGACTTCAGCCAGGTCACGATCTCGTGGTCCGTGAGTTCGAGCCCCGCGTCAGGCTCTGGGCTGATGGCTCAGAGCCTGGAGCCTGTTTCTGATTCTGTGTCTCCCTCTCTCTCTGCCCCTCCCCCGTTCATGCTCTGTCTCTCTCTATCCCAAAAATAAATAAACGTTGAAAAAAAAAATTAAAAAAAAAAAATAAAAGTAGATTTCCTTGAATGTTTCCAGGTGCCTCTCCTTTTGGGTTCTCATGGCAGACTATGTATATCCCTCTTTTGATGAATTTCTCACACTGCTTAATTATTTTTCTCTCCTGAGAAGATCATGAACTCTTAACAGTTCCTGTACTTAGCAGTGTTCAACAAATATATATTGAGTGCTCATATATGTCAGGCAGTCTTCTACATAATTATGAAATACCCATGAATAAGAGACACAGATCTCTGTCTCTGTGTAGTTAACATTCTTGTGGAGAGAAGAAAACAATAGCATAATACATGGATAAATTATGTCATGTGTTTGGTGGTAAGTGATGGGGTTAGACAAGGAAAGAAAACAGAGCTGGTTACATTTTAAAATAGGGTAGTCAGAATAGGCATCTTGGGAAAGGTGACATTTGAACCAAGTGTTGAAGGACAGGTAGGAGTTAGCCATGTATTTTGGTGGGGTGGAAGAAGAGGATTCTGAGAAATAACCAGTGCAAATGGCCCAAGATGAGAACATGCCTGGGAATGGCAAGCTGGCCACTCTGGCACTACTGAGTCCTCAAAGTAGTATAGTAGGTAATGAGGTCAGGGAGGGAACAGGACCAAATCATATAGGACTCATAACTTTATTTCCTCAATGCTAAGAACAGCATCAGTCGTATAGTAGGGACCCAATAAATATTTGTAAATCAATCAAATAATCATCCAAGTTGAGGTTCTTTAGCTTTATTTAGGCCAAGAGCCACTAAAATAATTTTCTTGTATTATTTCTTTTATCTTCTCATTTCTGTCCCTATAAAGTACCTTTAGTTAGCTTGTTCACTCAGTGAAGTCTAGATTTCTTGACATAAATAAGGTCTTACACAGTTCTGTTTTAGTATGTGTTTGTACCCTTTTCTTGGTATGTCTAATTGCATATCCATTTTTGCAGGCAAGTATCCAAATCACCCCAATAAAGCAAATATTGCAATAAAGGGAGTCAAGTGAATTGTTTGATTTCCCAGTGCACATAAAAGTTACATTTATGGAGCGCCTAGGTTTTGAACCTTTGACTCTTGATTTGCACTCAGGTCATGAGCCCAGGCTCATGGGATTGAGCCCTGCTTCATGCTCTGCACTGAGGGTGGAGCCTACTTAAGATATTCTCTCTCTCTCTCTCTCTCCCTCCCTCCCTCCCTCCCTCCTTCTTGCCCCTCTCCCCTCACCTCTCTTTCTAAAATAAAAAAAAAAAAATTATGTTTACACTATATTGTAGTCTGTTAAGTGCACAATAGCATTTTGTCTTAAAAAGTGTACATATTTTTATTTAAAAATATTTTGTTAGAAAATGCTATCATCTGAGCTTTCAGTCAATTGTAATCATTTTGCTGGTGGAGGGTCTTGCCTTGATGTTGATGGCTCCTAACTGAACAGGGTGTTGCTTCCTGAAGGTTGGGGTAGCTATGGTAATTTCTTAAAATATGACAACAGTGAAGTTTACCACATTGATGGACTCTTTTTTTTTCCACTAACAATTTGTCTGTAGTATGTGATGCTGTTTGATAGTATATTTTACCCACAGTAGAACTTCTTTCAAAATCAGTCATTTCTCTTAAACTCTACCACTGCTTGCTTCATAAACTACGTTTATGTAAAATTCTGAATCTTTTGTTGTCATTTTAACAGTCTTTACAGCATCTTCATCAGGAGTAGATTCCATCTCAAGAACTCACTTATTTTTGTTCATCCATAAAAAGCAGCTCCTTGTCCATTAAAACTTTGTTGTGGGATTGCAGCATTTCAGTCCCATCTTCAGGCTCCGCTTCTAGTTGTGGTTCTCCTGCTGTTTCTCCCACCTCTGCAGTTACTTCTCCACTGATGTCTTGAACCCTTGAAAGTCATCCATGAGGGTTGAAATCACCTTCTTCCAAACTCCTGTTAATGTTGATATTTTGACCTCTGCCCATGAATCATGAATGTTGTTTTTTTTTTTTAATCATGAACATTCTTCATGGCATCTAGAATGGTGAATCCTTTCCTGAAGGTTTTCAATTTACTTTGCCCAGATCCATTAGAGGAATCACTATCTATGGCAGCTATAGCCTTACAAAAAGCATTTCTTAAATAATAAGACACGAAAGTCAAAATTACTCCTTGATCCACGGGCTGCAGAATGGATGTTGTGTTAGCACACATGAAAACGACATTAATCTCATTGTACATCTCCATCAGAGCTCTTGGCTGACAAGGTGCATTGTCAGTGAGCAGTAATATTTTAAAAGGAATTTTTTTCTGAGCAGTAAGGTCTCAACAGTGGACTTAAAATAATTCAGTAAACCATGTTGTAAACAGATGTGCTATTATCCAGGCTTTATTGTTCCACTTATAGAGCACAGTAGATTTAGCGTAATTCTTAAGAGCCCTAGGATTTTTGGAATGGTCAATGAGCATTGGCTTCAACTTAAAGTCACCAGCTGCATTAGCCCCCAACAGGAGAGTCAGCCTGTCCTTTGAAGACTTAAAGACAGGCATCAACTTCTCTCTAGCTGTGGAAGTCCTAGATGGCATTTTCTTCCAATAGATGGCTGTTTCATCTATGTTGAAAATCTGTTGTTTTATTAGCCACCTTCATTAATTATCTTTAGCTAGATACTCTGAATGACTTGCAGCTTCTGTATGGCACTTCTGCTTCCCTTTGTACTTTTGTGTAATAGAGATGGCTTCTTTACTTAAACCACATGACCTAACCTCTCCTAGCTTCAGACTTTTCTTCTGCAGCTTCCTCATTCCTCTCAGCCTTCTTAGAATTGAAGAGAGGGCTGTACCCTGGATTAAGTTTGGCTTAAAGGAAATGTCGTGGCTAGTCTGATCCTTTATTCAGACCACTAAAACTTCTTCATAGCAGCAATAAGGCTGTTCGCTTTCTTACCATTTGTGTGTTCACTGCAGTAGCACTTTTAATTTCATTCAAGAACTTTTCCTTTGCATTCACAACTTTGCTAACCGTTTAGTACAAGAGGCCTAACTTTTGGCCTAGGT